TGTGGCTGAATGCCTTTTAACCAGGTTCTCTACACTGTTAATTTCCCAGTGCAACAGAATACTCAAATTGCAAGCCTCCCTTGCAGCTAGGATGCAAGTACACCGTCTAGATTCTGCCAAGCAAATGCACCCACGTGAAACTTTGACTCAGAAGTGGGCAACATGGAGGTTCAGGCATGTGGGGAATACACATGATTCTGCTGCAGGGGGAGCAGCAGTGCCCAGCCCTCTGGGGAGAGCGGGGGCAGTTTCTGGCATCATGGTCTGTGCTGAGAGCCCCAGGGTCACTGGAGCAGAGCAGTCCCATGGAGTGCTTGGGCATTCCTCTGGGCTTCTAAGCCCAGATCCCTGGCTCTCCCAGATTTTGGGAGCCTTTATAACCCACAGAGCCTCTGGTCTGCTCCAGCCAGATGTTTGTTGGGACAGAATGTTTGTTGGGGTGCCCAGGGCAGAGAGCCCCAAGGCTGACTATGACTCCAGCCTAGTTGCGGGAGGCCTGTGGGGTGGGTATTAGGGCAGCTCCACTTATCTGATCTCTTCTGTAGCCCCAGGCCTTGGCAGGCTCTTAAAATTCAAATGGGCCCCAGGGGGCTCATTAATTTTGTTCTCTTTTTTCCCTTTAGGGTATTCTTGTAAGACTACTATAATAGCATTTGGTACTAATGTAATTTTTATGTAAATTGTGTCATTTTCCATAAGCACATACATTCTTATAATGAGATATTCTGCTTTTATCCCTCATTATAAGGTAAAATAAAAATTTCCAGAGTGCTTCATACAGCTTTTCCTAATTATCATCTTCAATAACTATGAATATTTTGAGCAAAAGAATCATAATTTCATTAGCAATTCCTGTATTACTAGATATTTATGTTGCTTCCAGCTTTCACTCATTTAAAGATGTTGAAATGATCATTGTCATGCATAGAACTCTTTTTCTGTGCATCAGCAACCAGAAGAAAATGAATGAGTGCAAAAGATGGATATTTTAGTGGCTTTTCATATAACTGCCAAGCTGCCTTCCAGAAGGACTGTGCTGACACACATACAAATACCAGTAGGGCTGAGGACATCAGCTCTGCCTCCACTTCCCTAGCATTGTGCATGAGCAGATGCCAAGGTGGAGAGATTGTGGGAAATGTTTTCCTTGTCTTATTTCCTTCATTATTCACCATTTCCAGCCTCCCCTGTAGCTAGGGTGCAGGCACACAACCTAGACTCTGCCAAGCAAATACACCCATGTAAGACCTATGTGCAAAGAGAATATAATGGCTTTATCACTCTAAAAACTTCCTCAAAAATAAACGTGAAAGGAGGGAAATTTCAGGGTTTCAGAAAAATCTTACTGTGGCCATGACCATCCCTTAGAGTTAACTCTTACAAATAGTTAAGTAGGCAACCACCTTGGTGATGTGTTTAAAAGCTTCCTCTTAGGCTAAAAGGGGTTCCTCCCTGGCTTATATCTCTTTAATCTCTGTTAAATGCCAGAGGGAAGCTTATTCTACTTTTTTTTTTTTTTTCCTGAGACTGAGTCTCACTCTGTTGCTCAGGTTGGAGTGCAGTGGCATGATCTCCGCCCACTGCAACCTCTGCCTCTCAGGTTCAAGCGATTCTCCTGCCTCAGCCTCCTGAGTAGCTGGGATTACAGGTGCCCACCACCAGGCCTGACTAATTTTTGTATTTTTAGTAGAGACAGGGTTTCGCCATGTTGCCCAGGCTGGTCTCAAACTCCTGACCTCAAGTGATCTGCCCACCTCAGCCTCTCAAAGTACTGGGATTACAGGCATGGGCCACCGTGCCCCACCATCTACCTATATCTTTATGTAAGTGATCCACATTTCCTTTTCAAAGTCTAAATCTCACAGCTTATCTAGAAACCCATGTCAGGAGCCATAAAGCAGATATTTGACCAAAACCACCATAACATTTTAGTTTTTTTGAGACGGAGACTTGCTCTTGTTGCCCAGGCTGGAGTGCAATGGTGCAATCTCAGCTCACTGCAACCTCCGCCTGTCAGGTTCAAGTGATTCTCCTGCCTCAGCCTCCTGAGAAGCTGGGACTGCAGGCACGTGTCATCACACCTGGCTAGTTTTTATATTTTTAGTACAGACAGAGTTTCACCATGTTGGTCAGGCTGGTCTCAAACTCCTGACCTCGTGATCTGCCCACCTCGGCTTCCCAAAGTGCTAGGATTATAGGTGTGAGCCAACATGCCTGGCCAACCACCAGAATCTAAAAACACAAACCGAAACTGAGAAAATATTTGTAATATTTTTCAATAGAATGATAGCCCCTCATCTCCCTTGAGCTTTCTTCTTTGACCCACAGTTGCCTAGGAGTGTGTGGTGGGCAGCCCAAGGTGGCCCCAGTGATTTTACCTCCTGCTAGTCACACCCTTGTGCAATCCTCTCCACATTGTACCAGGTTGGGTCTGTGTAACCAAGGGAATAAATGCAATGGTATCTCAATTCCGAGAGTAGGTTTTCTAAAGGACACTGGGGCCTCTGTCTTGCTTACTCTCTCTCAAATCATTCACTCTAGGTGAAGCCAACTGCCATGTCAAGAGAAGCTTTATGGAGAGGCCCATTTGGGAAGAAAATGAGGTCCCAGCCAACAGCCAGAAGGAAACAGAGGCCTCCTGCTGATAGCCATGTGAGTGAGCTTGGTAGCAGAGGCTAAGTCTCAATTATAAACCGAGCAACTGTTAGTTAGGACTACTCTGCTTTCCACTCTTGAATGTTTGTCCCAAAGAAACAGTCATTGGTATCTTGGTGATTGGGATATGTTCTGCAAAATGTGTCATGAGGCGATGTCATTATTGTATAAATATCATAGATAAGTGACAAACCTAGATGGTGTAGCCTACTACAACACCTAGGCTATATGGCATGGCCAGTAAGATCCTAGGGTACAAGCCTGTTCAGCACATGACTGTGTTGAATACTGTGGGCAACTGTAACACAATGTTAAGTATTTGTGTATCTAAGCATATCTAAACATAGGTAAGGTACAATAAAAATAGGGTATTATAGTCTTATTGGACCACTATCATATACGCAGTCTTGTTGATCAAAATGTTGTCACGTGGTACATGATTGTAATTTAAAAATTCAAGGGCCAGCCTCAGCAGGTCATGCATGTAACCCCTGTACTTTAGGAGGCCAAGGTGGGAGGATCAATTGAGCCTAGTATGAGACCAGTCTGGGCCAACACAGCAAGACCCTGTCTCTTAAAAAAAAATTAGCTAGGTGTGGTGGCACACACCTACAGTACCAGCTACTAGATGCGGCAGGAGGATGGCTTGAGCCTGGGAGATGGAGGCTGCAGTTGAGCTATGATCAGGCCACTGCACTCTAGCCTGGTAAAAGAACAAGACCTGTCTCAAAAACAAAAACAAAAACAAAAATCAGCTGGGCACAGTGGCTCACGCCTGTAATCCCAGCACTTCGGGAGGCTAAGGCAGGCAGATCACTTGAGTTCAGGAGCTCAAGACTAGCCTGGCCAACATGGTGACAACCCATCTCTACTAAAAATACAAAAATCAGCTAGGTATGGTGGTGTGCACCTGTAGTCCTAGCTACTCAGAAGCCTGAGGCAGGAGAATTGCTTGAACCCAGGAGGCAGAGGTTGCAGTGAGTTTAGACTGTGCCACTGTACTCCATCCTGGGTGGCAGATCGAGACTCTGTCTCAAAAACAGAACCAGAAAACTTGTTTAAGCCACTAAGCTTTGGGGTGAATTGTTATGCCGTAATAGATAACTGATACCAGTGTGCTGTTTATTTTCCCAACATTTAGGGGTTTCCTAGATACCTTACTGTTACGTTTGTATTTCTCACCAAATTTCTTCATTTAACCAATATTTTTGTGCCCCATTTGCTCACATTCCTCTCCTTTTGGAACTCCTATTGGGTAACTGTCAGACCTCCTGACGCTGTCACATAGGTCTCAGGAGCTCTGTCCCTCTCTTCCATCTTTTTTCTCCCTGCTCTGGGATCTCTAAGGGCAGTCCTGCTGTCATAACCTACAACTGTGACTCTTCCTCACGGGGTCCCTGCCCTTGGCTGCCACTCCCCCGCCCTCTCCATTCCTTTGCCCTGGTGTCTTTCCTCCATGCTGCATTTCACTCGGATTCGATGTTACCTCCATTCTTTTAAGCCTACATGTTTTCTTCTCTTCTTTGCCTTGGTTGACAATCCCTTTCTTTCACCTAAATGACCATAATGCAGAATATAAGCAAATTTATTTTCCCCGGTTCTGTGGTGAAATTTAAAAGCAGCAGGCAATTAAGGTCCATTGTTTAGTGTGATCACACAGAATGGTTCTTAAATAAGTTTCACCTCTGGTGTAACTGCTGGCGTAATTTTAAATGATCAATGAGAAGACTTAGCAATTCTTCTAAGTAAGCAAAACCAATTGGAATGTTTTGTTGGTGTCAATGAGAATTTTGCCTGTGTTTTGAGGATAGAAATATATTTAACTTTTTCACCACAGCATTTAATACACTGTTAACCTGGTTTCACATGGTATAAGGAAAAACGATAAAACTCTAGCTGTTTTGCAGATTAGATCTAGAAACATCTGTCCTTTGAAAATAAGATACTAACTACCTGAGGGTTTTTTTTACTTCACATACAAGCATTAACATAAACATATTAAATACTGAGTTTACTACTTTCCAACCAAACCAAGACCTAGAGAGTTTGATAATCTTTTCTATTTGGTTGCCATCAGAATGTCTATAACTTTGCATAAGTCAGCCTGCTGGGAACTAACACTTGAATTTTTAACCACTTAGGAGTTACGAATGCCCTTGAGAATCTGAGAAAAGCTACAGACTCTGTCCCTAGGAAATGGCAAACATACATTTTGCAAACAATTTCAGCAAGTTTGTAAAGGATCTGAGTCCTTCCATGGAGCCCAATCGAGGAGGTCTTGCTCTAAGAGCTCTGAACTCTGGCACTGAAGGAAGCTCACATGTTTCTCAGGCACGCTTTCTTACCATTGCTCTTGCTTCCTCACGAATGACTGGAACAGAAAGGATGCTGTACAGAGCTCCATTCACATACGGCTGGATCTTTAAGTGGAGGAAAACAGACAGTTATTTGCAAGTTTTCAAATACTGCACAAATCTCTAACAAACACCACACTGCAGAACAATCTGGCAAATGGGGAGAGTGGGCGTTCCTATCCTTGCAGCTCTCTGGCACTCCAGGATGCACGTTTCCATGTGACAGACATCTCTATCCGCATGCCTGAGTGACCGCTACCACTGAGTCTAAAACCAGATTCATGACTCCTCCCAAAGCTCACTCCTGCTGCATTTCATTGCTTAATTAGTTACTTTTAACCTCCTGATCACTCAGGCTAGAAACTGTGGAGTCATCTTTGATTTTTTTTGGTTCTGTCTCCAATGCTCAGTCTTCAAGGCTCTTTGACAGGAACCCTTCTTTTTAATATCCACTGCTACTGTCTTTGTTCAGACATTATTGTCCATGACCTAGGCTATATCAAATCTCCAAAACAGTCTTTCTACCCTCAATATTTACCCTTTAATTTAACTATCGGATCACTACAAACATTCTACAGTGTGGGGCAAATCATCTCTCTCTCCATCTTGGAAACCTTCCACAGAGCCCAGTTGGAAAGGCGGACTCCTTATGTGGCACACAGGATCTTCAAGGGGTGGCCTCTATCTCATGCCCTCTGCTTCTCCTTCCCTGCCACCACAACGTGTCCACACTACTTAAGGGATGCCCCCACCAGGCTGTTCCACGTTTCAGCCAGGTTCTTGCCAGGAATGGTCTTCACACACAAAATGAACCTTGAAAATTCAGCCCACACACGGCGCTCACTTCCGCTTCTTGTACATCCCTCCACTACAGCACTGGAGGCAGTATCCTTTTAAATTCACACTATGTCCCCGCCATTCTGAGCTTTTTGAGGACAGGACCCACGCTTTACTTGCATGCACAGGACATGAAGCATGGCAGGTGCTGATAAGCAAAGTCCCTTTTCAGCGGGCTGTACGTTATGCCCACCATGGCAATGGAAGAGGGCTCCTTTCCCATCGCCCTCCCTCAGCACTGGACTTCATTAGCACTTTCAATGCTTGCCAAGCTGATGGGTAAAAGGCATCCTACAGTTGTTCTTCTTTTCAGTTCCCTGATACCAGCACGACTGAACATCTTTTCATGCTTCTGGGCCAGCACCATTTTGTGAACTGTCCAGTCATGCCCTTTACCCCTTTTTCCTATTGGATTGCTTGACTTTTACTTATGAATTTATGCTAGTTCTTCAACTATTAGGAATATTAAATTTTGGTCACATGTGATGCAACTTTTCCTCAGGGTTTCATTCATTTTTTGACTTTGATTATAGTATCTTTTCCAAACAAGAAATGTAATATTCATATAGTCAATTATGTGCATCTTTTTCTTTATTTTCCTTTTGTCTTTCAAGATCATGACTACTACAGGATATATGAATATTGCATTTATTTGTGTAGCAAACACATTTCTTGGCTCTAAAATATATATATATAATATATATATATATATAATATATCTAAAATATATATATCTAAAAAAATATATTTTAGAGTCAAACTATATTTATATATTTTAGATATAAATATTTTATATTTATATTTTAAAACTACGTATATATGTATATATATCTAAAAATATATATGTATATATATCTATCTAAAATATATTTATTTATGTAGTTTTTCTAGCTCATTTTCTTTTTATATTTTTCTTTTTTTTTTTTGGTGACAGAGCCTTGATCTGTCACCCATGCTGGAGTGCAATGGCACGATCTCAGCTCACTACAACCTCTGTCTCCCGGGTTCAAGTGGTTCTCATGCCTCAGCCTCCTAGTAGCCGGGATTACAGGGACATGCCACCATGCCTGGCGAATTTTTGTTTTTTCAGTAGAGATGGAGTTTCCACACGTTGGCCAGGCTGGTCTCGAACCCCTAGCCTCAAGTGATCCTCCCACCTCCACCTCCCAAAATTGCTGGGATTATAGGCATAAGCCACCGCGCCTGGCTTGTCCAGCTTATTTTCAAAGCCAGTGCACTGGTAACAGTTAATGACATGATTCGAGTCCTTTGGTCTATTCAGTTTTCAGAGCAGACATATTGGTTCCAGTACTTGAAACCAACCTTTATTATGAGATGGAAGAATATGTTTCCCACTGGTTTCACCTGCCTGAGCTGAATAAAGTGAGGAACAGAGTTCATTCAGGCCTAGAAGTAGTTAAGAGCTTACTAGTTTTAAAATACAATATGAATGTCACAAACTGCAAAAGCCACCAAACATCCACGTGCTAAAGAAGTCGCCCCAATCAGTGGATAGAACTAGTATAAAATGTGAATGGAATGACCAGAATGGGAGCTGTCTGCTTGCAATGGGAACGAACGGGCTGAGCATGGTGGCTCACACCTGTAATCCCAGCACTTTGAGAGGCCGAGGAGGGTGAATCATAAGGTTAGCAGTCTGAGACCAGCCTGGGCAAAATGATGAAACCCTGTCTCTACTAAAAATACAAAAAATTAGCTGGGTATGGTGGTGTGTGCCTATAATTGCAGCTACTCGGCAGGCTGAGGCAGGAGAATTGCTTGAACTTGGGAGGCGGCAGAGGTTGCAGTGAACTGAGATCGCGCCACTGCACTCCAGCCAGGCAACAGAGTGAGACTCTGTCTCAAAAAAAAGAAATGGGAACACAGACATGTGGAAATCAAGTGGTACTCAATTGTGTCCTGCTCAGATATACCTCTGGGACTCATCTGTCTAAAGTGGTCAGATTTTTGTTGAAGTCTTGTCATGGTTTCTGCAATGGCATTTGTAGAAGGCAAGTGACAGAATAATCATATTTATTTGTTTCTGTTAAATTGTTTACTCATTCCTCTACTTTATTTAAAAAGATCCTGAGGCCCATAAATTAAAAATGTAGAAAATCACACCTGGTATTACAGGGACACTGGTGAGAGCAAACGCTAGTACAGCCCATTCTGGAGGACAGCTTGGCCGCACTCAGTGACCTGACACTGACGTATGCTGGCAGCCAGCAGTGATGAGTGTCTAGCATCCGTGGAAGCTCTGGCACAGGCTCCCATGAGGCAGGTGCAGCCACGTCCACTGAGGACTGCTGTGGCAACAGATTGGAAGGCACTCAGAGTGTACAGGCAGGTAAGTAAAATGGCAGGGGTGCAAACAAGGAGCTAGTTTGCAGTAGTGACACTTAATGTACCAGACGTTATGTAAAGCAACATAGAAAGGACCTAACAAGCCAAGGTAAAAGCCATAAACAGAATGAGGCCTACAGGACAATCAATTCCTGCAAATTCAACACACATGTATGGAGCCTCCATCCACAACCATGGAGATACATTAAACACCCCAAGAGGGTGGACTGTAGGGGAGCAACGCCGGAGGGGCCAGGCACAGGCCAGTGGCCAGTGGGCCACACAGATACGGACGGAAAGAACAACACCCTGCTTCTGACACCCAAAATTCTAAAAATTATAAAGGATTTCCAGTTGCTTCTGAAAATCCCTGGAGGAGGCAGAACATGTACATTTTTCAAATACAGCAACTGTCCTGGGCCAGCTGTGTGCCTGTGGGGTCACAGGCATTGGGTCCCCAGTGCAGCCTCCCCTAAGCCCAGGGCCAGCAGCACTGAATGAGTACCTCGTGGTTTTCATGGCCAAGAAGATCCGAAAGGACTTTGAGAACGAGGCCTGACACCTTGGCACACATGTTCTTCCCTATGGGAAACAAACCAAAGCTAAACATGACATGTCTAAACCCAGAAGCACGATTTTAGGTCAGATAGACTTGGGGACAAATCTTGGCTCCTCTGGCCATAAGCCGTATGACCTCGGGTGAGTCACAAAACCAATCTGGGCCTCAATTTCCTCCTCTTTACCACAGGAATTATTATTCATACCTACTTCAAAGGATGATGCAAAATTAAGGAAACTAATGTATTGTAAAGGACTCAGTGTATCACAGAACCTTGGTGCTCAGTAAACCACCCCAAGTGGTGGCTATTACCCCAGTCAGAGCACAGAGCGATTCATTACAGTGAAAGCATAATACATTATAGAGCAATGTTCTCCCTCCCACACACTATATGGCCATTACAAAAGACCATACGGGCATTTTAGTAGTTCCAAACATCATCATAAAAATCGCTGCAAATATGGTGACGATGATGATGTAAAGCTAATTCTAATCTGATGAATGTATTAGAAGACTTCTGGCTGGGTGCAGTGGTTCACATCTGCAATCCCAGCACTTTGGGAGGGTGAGGTGGGCAGATCACTTGAAGTCAGGAGTTCAAGACCAGCCTGGCCAACATGGTGAAACCCCCTCTCTACTAAAAATACAAAAATTAGCCAGGTGTGGTGGTGGGCACCTGTAGTTGCAGCTACTCAGGAGACCAAGGCAGGAGAATTGCTTGAACCTGGGAGGCAGAGGATGCAATGAGCCAAGATCACACCACTACACTCCAGCCTACGTGAAAGAAAGTGATGTCACCTAAAAACAAACAAAAAAACACAAAACTCATTGCAATAAAAATTGCTTTTGAAAAAATGAAAAAAAAAAAAAAACAAAAAACAAAAAACAAAACCTAGGACTTTTTACACATGCTGTTTTTTAAAATGACTGAAATAACAGTCATTTACTCAGTCAACAACAAACAGTTACGTGGTTCAGTCTACAAGATGGAGGTGAAGATGCTTCCAACAAGTACTCCTGAGCCAGCTATTTATCCAGGGAGCCTTTTTCTCCAAACACAGGCTGCCCAGGCAGGCGGGGGAAAGCCACAGCCTGGACTTGGTACTTCTTCTAAAGAAGCTTCTTTGATCCCAGGTAACAATTTAAATGAGACATTACCTGCGGAAAAGCTAAAATCACTACCTTTAGCGATCAAGCATATAAATGACTTGTGCCCACAGAGAAATCTCTACCTCCAGGGCTGGGGCAGGGAAAAGCATGTGATTCAGGGAGGAAGCGGGGTTTAGTGTCACTACTATTGCAGCCAACTTAATCCTATAGGATCCTGGGAACATACTTCTTTGTCTTCAGAAAAGGGGATAACAATCTTTTTTTTTTTTTTTTGGAGATAGAGTTGCGCTCTATTGCCCAGGCTGGAGTGTAGCAGCATGATCTTGGCTCACTGCAACCTCTGCCTCCCGGGTTCAAGCACTTCTCCTGCTTCAGTCTACTGGGTAGCTGGGATTACAGGCGCCTGCCACCATGCTTGGCTAATTTTTTGTATTTTAGTAGAGATGGGGTTTCACTGTGTTGCCCAGGCTGGTCTCAAACTCCTGACCTCATGATCCGCCTGCCTCGGCCTCCCAAAGTGCTGAGATTATAGATGTGAGCCACCGCACCCAGCCAGGTGTCATATTCTTAACTTCCTACCTTTAAATGATGCAATAAAGAAAAATGTAAATGAACTTAGTCTCCTCTTAATGCGGGCACTATGTATATACAAAACATTTTTTCCAGGGCGAAAAGGGATTTTGGCTTCAGGGATTCAACAGCTTGATACCTGGTTGGAAATGCTTTCCACTCTTCTTTCAGTTTTCTATGAGACTAAAAGCAAACCATATCAGGCTCAATGGAAACCTAGCTTCGAGGGTCAAGATCTCTTCCCCTTTCTGCACCAGAATGAGGGTTGGGGGGCTGTGAGACCTGAGCTGCGGAGACAGAGGTTCATGAGCAAAGCCACTGAGTACTCCAGCATGTAGTCAGACAGGCAGTCTGGGTCCTTCAGAACATCAACCAGCCAGAAGATAAGGCCATCTTGAATCATTGCTGTCTGCAGCGGGCGCCTGGGAAGAAACAGCCTAAGGTAAACAAAAATTGCCAAGAAACTTTTCATATAAGAGGAAATAGTAGGCTGGGCACAGTGGCTCTCCCAGCAATTTGGAAGGCAGAGGTGGGCGGATTACCTGAGGTCAGGACTTTGAGACCAGCCTAGACAACATGGTGAAACCCCGTCTCTACTAAAAATACAAAAATTAGCTGGGTGTGGTGGCGGGTGCCTGTAATCCCAGCTATTTAGGAAGCTGAGGTATGAGAATCATTTGAACCCAGGAGGCAGAGGCTGCAGTGAACCCGGACTGCATCACTGCATTCCAGCCTGGGCGATGGAGCAAGACTCCATCTCAAAAANAAAAAAAAAAAAAAAAAAAAGAGCGAGAGTAAACAGTAATGTGAATGCATATCAAAAATGACAAACTTATAGGAGACACAGAGTCTGAGGGATGTTTTTGTTAAACCCATACAATTGAAACAACAAAAATTCTTTATTATTTAAGGAATATTTATTAAGGGTTTAAATAAAGATAGGGCGGCAAGGAGGCCTCCTACTTTGAAAGTTTCCTCTTCAATATTTAAAATTAGCAAAGCATTACTTCAAATATCTAATAAATATTTATTAGTAGCTTTTGGTTTACTTAACCCAGGAAACAAGACCATAGAAATACTTCTTTGACAAACAGACTTTTACCTAAACTCTCCATAATCCAGCTCTAGACACTCTGAACTGTATGAAAATAGAGAAAAAAGGAGGAGCAAAAGCCTAACTTAACATCATTCTGATTCAGATTTCTATAGAGTAAGGGTAGTTTAATGACCTGGTTAATGCAAATTATAAGGAACGATTTTCCACCTGAAATCCAGGTGTAGATTCTTACAAAATCCAATCCCTCATCAAAATGTGTGATGGTGATGTCATCACGTTAGCCTTAAGAATTACTGAGGCTGCCGGACATGGTGGCTCACGCCTGTAATCCCAGCACTTTGGGAGGCCGAGGTGGGTGGATCACAAGGTCAAGAGATCGAGACCATCCTGGCCAACAGGGTGAAACCCCGTCTCTACTAAAAATACAAAAATTAGCTGGGCATGGCGGCATGCGCCTGTAGTCCCAGCTACTTGGGAGGCTGAGGCAGGAGAATTGCTTGAGCCTGGGAGACGGAGATTGCAGTGAGCTGAGATTGTGCCACTGAACTCCAGCCTGGTGACAGAGCAAGACTCTGTCTCAAAAAAAAAAAAAAAAAGAATTACTGAGGCTAAGTGTGGTATCATTGTGAGATGCCATCTGGATTACTAGAAAACTGACATGCCACAGAGAAGCCAGCACTGCACATCTCCTGATGAGCAGCTTATGGTGAAACCACCATCCAGGACAGAACAGCACAGCCAGTTACCTGTTCATCCTGTCTTTTTTTTTTTTTTGAGACAGAGTTTCACTCGTTACCCAGGCTGGAGTGCAATGGTGCGATCTCGGCTCACCGCAACCTCGGCCTCCTGGGTTCAGGCAATTCTCCTGCCTCAACTTCCTCAGTAGCTGGGATTACAGGCACGCACCACCATGCCCAGCTAATGTTTTGTATTTTTAGTAGAGACGGGGTTTCACCATGTTGACCAGGATGGTCTCGATCTCTTGACCTCATGATCCACCCGCCTCGGTCTCCCAAAGTGCTGGGATTACAGGCTTGAGCCACCGCGCCCGGCCCATCCTGTTCTTAAACACTATGTTGACCCAATCAGGGTCAACATAGAATACAGTAAAGACTCTGCTCTCTTGGTAACTAGTTACCTCCTCCATTTATTGCAGAGACTCTGGAAAATTGCAGAAAGTTTAAGCACCTTTACAGAACGAAAAAGCTTAAATGATCATTTGGAGGAAAAGAATAAACAGGCAGTAAACATTTGCATTACTAGGAGGATTTTTTTCACCATATCTTATATCTGTCACTTAACTATAGTTATTGAATTTCTAAAAACGCCCAAAACAGTCAATATTGAGCAAAGTTCTCTCTACAAACAAACAGAAATGAAATGTCTGTATGCTCTGAGGAAGTATGACTCTGCAGATCACTTAGTTCTTTTCAATTCATATACAGTAGTTAGCACAGGAATTTTCATTTGTAGGAAATTGGCAAATGGTAGATACAAATACCTATCCCTTCCCCAGCAAACACACACACACTTAGACCATTCACTTGGCCAGCTTCTGGTTATTTGTAAGCTGGTCAAATGTTAACCACATTTGATGGGAAGAAATTGTCTTCAGAAGAGGACTGACAAAAAAAAGCTGAAGACTCCGTAGGTACTAGAGTTCTCAATAAAGTCAAAGAGAACTTGAGGTGATTATTTTCAAAGGAAACTCTGAGAAAATTACCATATGACACAGTAATTCATCTCCTAGATGCCGGTCCAGGAGAAAAGGAAACATATGTCCACACAAAGACTTGTGCTGAAACTTTCATGGCAGTGTTATACATATTGGCCAAAAGTGCAAACAACCCAAATGCTGATCAACTGAAGGACAAACAAAACGTAATGAAGGCCAGGCACAGCGGCTCACGCCTGTAATCCCAACACTTTGGGAGTCCAAGGCAGGTGGATCAAGAGGTCAGGAGTTCGAGATCAGCCTGGCCAACATGGTGAAATCTCGTCTCTACTAAAAATACAAAACTTAGCTGGGCATGGTGGCGCGTGCCTGTAATCCCAGCTACTCAGGAGCTGAGGCAGGGGAATAGCTTGAACCTGGGAGGCAGAGGTTGCAGTGGGCCGAGACCACACCACTGTACTCCACCTGGGCAACAGAGCGAGACACCGTCTCAAAAAAAACCAACCAACCAACCAAACAAACAAAAAAACGTGTTGTAGCCACAATGGAGTATCATTCAGCTACAAAAGGAATGAAGCCCTGATGCACGCTGCTACAAGGACGAACCTTGCAAATGTGACGCTAAGTGAGAGAAGCCAGTTACAAAAGAGCACACGCTACATGATTCCATTGATATGAAATGTTCAGTACAAGTCAATCGACCAAAAGCAGATTTGTGGCTATCAGGGATTGGGAGTAGGAATGAGGAGTGACTGTAAATGGGTATGAGGTTTCTTTTTGTGATGATGGAAATGTCCTAAAACTGGATTGTAGTGATGATTGTGGCCCAACTCTGTAAATACCCCAAAAATCCTTGAATTGTGTGCTTGATACGGGGGAATATTACGGTGTGTAAAATACACCTCAATAAAGCTGTTAACTGAAAAGAAACCTATGGGGCTGGGCATGATGGCTCATGCCTGTTAATTCTAGTACTTTGGGAGCCTGAGGTGGGTGAATCACCTGAGGTCAGGAGTTCAAGACCAGACTGGCCCTACAGGTTCCAAGTCATGGAGGTCTAGGCTGAGCCGATGGGGTGGGTTGCGTCGCCAAGGTCAGGAGGCCCTAACCCTAACTCTACAGGACCGTCTCTCACACTCTGCTGGGATGTACATTTACACGTGTGGCTCCCACAGGGGACTGGAAGTAACTTGAGGGCTGAGGCTCTATTGGCCCCTATTCATGTGTGTGTCTCTAAGCCCTGCACATGCCCTGAGACACAATCTAGCATGGCTGGCACTATATAACATCCATTAGGAAAATATACCAGTGCTTTTAAAATGCCTTCCTCTCAGAGCAAAGGCCCTGGTGAAAATAAAATTTAAAAAATAAACGAAGAAAAAAATAAAACATCTTCCTCCATCCCCAGCAGTCTCTAGCAGGATAGTTTAGTGGATTAGAGATAAGCTTTCTAGCTCTGTCTTAGAAAGTCATCCAACCTCTCCCAAGTGTTAGTGGAAAAATACCATCTGCCTCCTGAGTTGTCATGGGAATTTTAACTCAATGTGATCTCAAAGAAGACACCAAGACCTACCACACAGTCATTACCTGAGGCTGAACTTCTGCAGGGCCCCAAGAATGTTCTCCCTGGTGACAATGTCCTTGTCCTCCTCCTTCAGCCTTCCCTCCAGCATCCGCAGCACCTTTGTGTTCTGGGCAAGGTAGAGGCGACCTGATAATACACCAGAGATGAAAGAGGTGAAAGACAGAAGTAATTTATCTGGTATGCTACAAAACCACTTTCCATGAAAACTTACTTTGCATAAAACACAGTAGAGTTTGGGTAATTTTATGTTCTAAAAAACTTACTGGGCCAGGAGCAGTGGCTCATGCCTGTAATCCCAGCACTTTGGGAGGCCGAGGCGGGTGGATCACCTGAGGTCAGGAGTTCAAGACCCAGCCTGGCTAACATGGTGAAACCTTGTCTCTACTAAAAATACAAAACTGAGCTGGGCGTGGTGGCAGGTGCCTATAATCCCAGCTACTCAGGAGGCTGAGGCAGGAGAACTGCATGAGGTTGAGGCAGGAGAATTGCTTGATCTCGGGAGGTGGAGGTTGCAGCGAGCCAAGACTGAGCCACTGCACTCCAGACTGAGTGACAGAACAAGACTCTGTCGCCCAACCCAAATAAATAAATAATAACAATAATAATTTTAAAAATCTTACTGGTTGTGCAATGTAGCTCACGCCTGTAATCCTAGCACTTTGGAAGGCTGAAGTGGGTGGATTGTTTGAGCTCAGGAGTTCCCTACCAGCCTGAACAACAGGGCATAAACTTATCTCTACAAAAACTAAAGAAAATTAGCCAGGTGTGATGATGCACATCTGTCGACCCCGCTAGTTGGGGGGGGCTGAGGCGGGAGGAGCATTGCTTGAGCCTGGGCAGTCGGGGCTACAGTGAGCCAAGATCATGCCACTGTACTCCAGCCTCGGTGACAGAGCAAGACTCTGTCAAAAATAAAATAAAATAAAATAAAGTAAAATAAAACCTACAAAACTCCCACAAAATTTATTAAAAGATATTTCTTCTAAAAGTTGGTTTTAATCAACTATCTGATGACTAGAAAAACCACTCTTCTTGTGAGCTACACATAATTCACTGCTGTGTTCTTGTGGGGAGCACCATCCTTTTTTTTCCCATGAAATCCTGAACCCAACATTCAGATCTACAAGGAGAAACGGGGGGTAGATGTTGTGTTATGAGCCCTTAAGCCTTCACAATACAGGCAGCCAAGGAGTGCTTTCGTCCACATTCTCTGCTCCCTTTAGACATGCACGAGGCCTGGAGAGCAGGGTGGAAGCCATACCTGGGACCCTATAATAAACCCTGAATGGTCACTAGCCTGTTGTGGATTTCTGAATTGATATGGAAGACGTCAATTTCAGACATAAGGTTCAACAGTATTATTATATGAATGGTCCTCAGTAACATATCCTGGCTTATCATAAATGTTTGCCAAATGGATGGAAAAATGAATGAACAAATGAACTAAGTTGTAGACTATCATAAATCCATAATTTGAAAACTCTCTTTATTCACATTATAAAGAGCTCAAACAAATAAGAACTTATGGAAGATAATGGCACTTCGCCAAATCATTTTGAATTCAGTTATGGGGGCATGTTATTTTCAGGGTTTTCAAGTCCTTTGATTTAAGAGGTCATAGTCTTCCGAAGGAAATGGTGCAGTGTTTATTGGAGTCTGCTTTGTTTCACCACGCTTATATTGCTGTAATTGTTTCACTTATTTTGCCTTAAGTAGAAAACTGTAGAAAGTGCATTCATTACCTGCGATATGCTTGAAAGCAATATAAAACATTACTATGTTACAAAACCAGAAAGCTTATAAAATAAAACCAGGAGGCTTACAAAATAAACCCAAAAACTGTCCAAAAGTGCTCTGATATAAACTAAAGCAATATGACAACAACTAATTTTCACAAAAGACCTTAGACGAATTAAATGATAACAAATTGAGGAAGCATAATTGCTAAGAAACTTGGGAGAAACACTCATTTTCAGAGGAAAAGGAATCAATATGACCTAGCTCTTCTCTTCAAGCAAAGCTGATGTCTCACCTTCTGCCAGTGACGCAAAAGCATTGATGAGCCTGGCCATGTACTGCCGTACCACATCGCTCTTGGAGTGCAGCAACTGAAGCACACTCCTCTGGGGGACAAAGTCAAGAGGAAAAACAAGGTTAAGAGAAGGGAGAGATAAACATATGTCTCCTCTTTGGTCTGGTAGTTCTCTTCCTCTGCCTGAATTTATTAGAAGTGAAATAAACAGACTAAAGCCAAACACTTCATCTGGGTCTTGATTTCCAACTGAAATTTGATGAGACTTGGCAAAAATAAGTTAGTCAGACTTACAAATTAAATGAGTTTATTATACGAAGCTCTCAGAACAGTGGCTGGCGTGAAGGAAGCAGTCCTGTTTGCTGTTACCATTGCTGCTGTTTTCCAGGTTAGGATGGTAGATCCAAGACACACACCTAATTTGGCGCCCTCTAAACCACAGTAAAACTACAATAAATGCACTGTTAAAAAAGATAATTCCCAAGGACAGAGAGAACAGCAAAAGAAACAATAATGCCACCGTTCTGGAAGCAGGAATGCAGGATGGCAAGAGGCTTAGCAGGCCGAAGAAGGTCAAATCTCAAGGCAGCAAGGGGCACTGTGGAATTACCCAGTTTCCATTACTGACTCCTCAAAGGGCTTAAGAGCTGGAGAAAAATGAAGATCAATGAATGAAAGTTGTTTAAGAAGCAGCTGGATCCCACTCATGTGACTCCTGTGCACCTCTCAGCACAGGGCTGTGGAGAGGGTGTTCCCTTGTGAGTGTGACACAAAGAGTCTGTGGATCAGGGACACCAGGCAGAGGACAGCAAGGGTTTCAGGGATTCTAGAACAAAATGGAGAGGGGGGGTTAGTGTCTAAATACAGAATGAATGTGGAACAGAGGGCCACTCCAGAACTTGGCTCCCAGGACACTGGCAATCAGACCCTTCCCCTCTAGACCCAAGATTAGAAGACTCTTCTCACAGTGAAATGACAAGCCCAAGGGGAAAGAACTAGAGATGGTAAAATCAGAGGTTCAGCAAATGGCCCACCGAGACCCCCCTCAATGGAGCTATACATCAACAGGCCGTACCATCACACTCAATGGGCTTTTCAGTCCCCTTCACTTAATATGTCATTAGGAGATCTAAATATGTCATTAGGAGATCACAAAGGACTACCAGACACCCAAGAAAAGTTTCTACCAGGAGGCCAAAACAAATTGAGCTTGGAGTAAAAGACTGTACAGGGAGAAGAAAACTAAAACTTAAATAAAAATTCATCACTAATATCCTCAAAGACAAAAGAAATTGTATTATATCCATGAAACAAAATAATACTATCAAAAAGGAAAGAAAAGTTTCAACAATAGGGTCAGAAAATAAAGATGAAGAAATCTCCTAGGAAGGTTGGGCGTGACAGCTCACACCTATAATCTCAGGACTTTGGGAGGCTGAGGTGAGAAGATCACTTGAGATCAGGAGTTTGAGACCAGCCTGGCCAACGTGGTAAAACCCTATCTCCATAAAAATACAAAAATTAGCCAAGTGTGGTGGCATGCTCCTATAATCCCAGCTACTTGGGAAGCTGAGGCAGGAAGGCTGCTTGAGCCCAGGAGGCAGAGGCTACAGTGAGCTGAGATTATGCCACTGCACTCCAGCATGGGTGTCAGAGTGAGACTGTCAAAAAAAAGGAAGGAAGGAAGGAAGGGAGGAAGGGAGGGAAGAAGGAAGGAAGGAAGGAAGGAAGGAGGGAGGGAAGAAGGAAGGAAGGAGGGAGGGAGGGAGGGAGGGAAGGAGGGACGGAGGGAGGGNAGGGAGGGAGGGAGGGAATAAGGAAGGAAGGAAGGAAGGAAGGAGGGAGGGAGGGAGGGAGGGAAGAAGGAAGGAAGGAAGGAAGGAAGGAGGGAGGGAGGGAGGGAAGAAGGAAGGAAGGAGGGAGGGAAGGAGGGAAGGAGGGAGGGAGGGAGGGAGGGAAGGAAGGAAGGAAATAAATCTCCCAGAGAGTGAAACAAAAAGATACAAAATATGAGAGAAACTATAAGAAAAACAGAAAACCAGTTCAGGAGGCTCAACATTCAGAGAGAGAACACAGAAGACAGAAGGAAGAAATGCTTCTAGAGAGACAAACACAGGTCACATACAAAAGATAAGGAAGCGGAATGGCTTTAGATTCCTTTTTTTTTTTTTTTTTTTGAGTCAAGGTCTCACTCTGTTGCCCAGGATGGAATGCAGCGGTGTGATCATAGCTCACAGCCTCGACTTCTTGGGCTCAAGCAATCCTCCTGCCTCAGTCTTCAGAGTTAGCTGGGACTCCACGCTCATGCCACCATGCCTGGTTAACGTAAAAAAAAAAAAAAATTTTTTTTTTGGTAGAGAATGGGGTCTCACTGTTTTATTCAGGCTGGTCACAAACTCCTGGGCTCAAGCAATCCTCCTGCCTCGGCCTCCCAAAGTACTAGGATTACAGGCATGAGCCACCGTGCCCAGCCGGCTTTGGATTTCTGAACAGCAAAACTAGAACCTAAAAGACAATGCAGCAACGTCTTCAAAATTCTGAAAGAAAATTATTTACAATCCAGAATTCTATACAAAGAATGAAGACATTTTTTGACCATACATGATCTCAAAAAATATACTTCCTGTGCACCTTTTCTCTAGAAGCTATTAACTCAAGGATGCGTTCCACTAATCCAGAGAACAAGTCAAGAAATAAGATAATATGGGGCACTGGAAACAGAGGTCCAATTCAGGAGAGCAGTCAAAGGAATCAGTAACAGTTTGATGAAGAGACGCCTGGAGGGCAGCTACACACCAGATGTTGTCCAGACTAAACCCAGCTGACTCAAGAGGGCGACATGTCAAAGGCCATTGTCCCCAAGATGCCTATTACCATTACAACAATTGAGGTCAAATTTTTACTGAGGTATAGCATCTACACAGAACACTGCACAGATCATGTATACAGCCTGGTGAGTTTTCACAAACTGAACATGCGGCTAACTAGCAACCAGGTCAAGAAACAGAACATGCTCAGGGTCCCAGAAGCCCTTCCAGAACCACATTCCAAGCCAAGGGTGACCTCTCTCCTGGCTTCTAACATCACAGATTCATGTTACTTGGTTTTAAATTTTTTTTTTTTTTCCGAGACAGAATTTCGCTCGTTACCCAGGCTGGAGTGCAGTGGCTCACCGCAACCTCCGCCTCCTGGGTTCAAGCAATTCTTCTGCCTCAGCCTCCCAAGTAGCTGGGACTACAGGCTTGTGCCACCATGGCCAGCTAATTTTTGTATTTTTAGTAGAGACAGGGTTTCACCATGTTGACCAGGATGGTCTCGATCTCTTCACCTTGTGATCCACCCGCCTTGGCCTCCCAAAGTGCTGGGATTATAGGCGTGAGCCACCGAGCCCGGCCGGTTTTAAATTTTTAAATAAATGAAACCATATATTATATATTCTCTTATATTTGACTTTTTCATTCAACAATCTGTCTGTGGTGTTGATCCGTGGTCTCTGCTGTGTGCTCCTTCTCATTGCTTAAGGTGTCCCATTTTACAAATACCTCACAGGTATTCATTCTACTGCTGATTGACATTTGGGTTGCAGCCAGCGTTTTGGTTCTTACAAGAAGTGCAGCTATGAATATTCTTGTATGTTTTTTAGTGAAAATATGGGCAGGTTTTTGTTGGGGCCATACCTAGGAGAGGCTTTGCTAGGACATGAGGAATTCAGCTTTAGTAAATGCTGCCTGCGTTACAAAGTAGTATACCTTGTCCTAATTTGTAAACAGAATACAAAATGTCCAGTGAGACGAGCCCAGACTCTTACTGGCATTTGGATAACCCTGACATGTGCTAGTGACGTTCCAGCTCCCACTTCCATGCCCTGTATGAATTAGCTGTGAACTGTCTTTTTACCCCCACAGAAGTATTCTCAAGTGATCGACTCCTGAGAGCTAGATCAGGTACACTTACAAGCCAAAATACAGAGCAGCTCACCATTGCCCTTGGGCATAAATATTGCTGCTGGGGGGCCGGGCGCGGTGGCTCAAGCCTGTAATCCCAGCACTTTGGGAGGCCGAGGCGGGTGGATCACGAGGTCAAGAGATCGAGACCATCCTGGTCAACGTGGTGAAACCCCGTCTCT